CCCTACTCATCTCATTTTTTTCATACTATTCCAAGATTTTGGAAAACAGAGCTCGAAACTTTCTGCAGTCTTGGGACAATCAGAGAGCTCACCTTTCGTGTGACCCCCGCTGCTCTCACTGTTATGAACCCATCTGTCACCAGACGAGTCCTCGTGTGGCTTCTGGTCATTGTAAAGGATGTATGCAATGTCTGTATTCTGTAAAAAAAACAAAAACAACAAAAAGGTTTTTAACTGTAGCTTCATGCATGTGTACTTACCGATCATAGAAAATGTAGAAACGAATGTTTTCACCTCAAAAGAAAACAAACAAATAAATAAAATGGCACACACTGACATCCATCACTTTCGGTGACGTTAACCAATACAATTACGCACAGACGGTTGCATCCAGTAATTTTTGATTCAGAATCTTATCCACAAACTCTCTGACATGTTTTGATGAATCTATCAAGTTTTCAATTAGTAAATGACCTTTTCCGTCTCCTAGTTGCACAATCAGCGCCCAGAAAGACAGATCACCTGAATGAACAGATGCAGTTTCACTTCTCATTATATGTTTGTTCCTCTGATCTAACAATGTCAACCGGTTATAGCAGATGTCTATGAAAAAAATGCTTATTATTGCATATCATGTTGGTGAAACAAGAAGTCTTGTGACTGGGGTCACAAAGAAGAAGCAGGAAAATTTTAAATACCCTAAGCTCAGTGGTTTTCTAGGACTAAAATCTGCACATAAGCATAACTGCTCTGCGTGTAGTTAAAGCAAAGAGTTACTGCAGTTAACAGAAGTCGATGCACCAGCACTGTCTGTCACTTTTGGCTATTGTGATGAACAAAAATGTATTTTAAGTTTTGTGAGTCGTAAGAATTGGAAGTTCAACTCAACTTTATTATACGTGGTTTTAGGAGAATATTACATTTTATCTTGTGACAAATCAGTATTTCTAAAACATGACATCATTTTTGGGGTCAAATATAAACTGAAGGTCCACTCATCTTAAAACAGCTGAAGTTGTTTTTTGCCTTTTAGCATTAATTAATAATAAGGAACCTAAAAGAGTATGATAATCACATTTTGAAGAACACTTGCTTTCACGTGGGCGTTTTTCCAAATGAAACTGAGCTTACAGTTTTTAAACTTTGTACTCAGTTCCACATTTGTAGCAGAAAAAAGAAACCTGATGGAAACAAACCTTCCCCTGCGTGTACAGCTGTCCGACCGTCCTGCCCAGGGCGCTCGTGGTGTCATTCACTGTCCCCTTCCCTTCAGTCCATCCTTCACTTCCTTGGTCCAAAAGCAAATACATCTCACCTCGTTCAGGAGACTTACTGCCATGCTCTTTGGGAAGTTTGTATATATAGAACCTAAATCAAACAGAGACACAGACAGAAAGGCTGTACATGTAAGAACTGCTTATATCGGTGCATGTCTGTAAATGCTAAACTGTTATTGAAAATATTTCTTCTGTTTAATCAGAATAATACATCTAGGTTAAAACAAACAAATAAGGAGGACTTTTATATGTGATTTCTCAGGAATTGTTATCAATGAATTACCAATCAACAGCATCTCCTTGGTCATTGTAGCAACCGATTGGTGAGCTGCTGCCCTCTAACGGCACGTAGAGGATCAGCACGGACAGGAACAGAAGCATCTAAGAACAAGAGACAGAGATATTAATAACTACGGTTAAATATGTGTATATGTGTTAGGAAAATTAAATGATGAGTTCACGTTCAAAATATTTGGTTGAAGCTCATTTTTTCTTTTTACCAATAATGACTCATTTGTAAAGAGTTTCAGTATTCACAAGTAAAAGTACCAATAAAACAGTGTAAAGTAGTAGTAGTAGTAGAAATATTAAAGTATAAGCATAAAAATGTCCAGCCACTGAAGGGTTATTTATTTATTTATTTTTATATTTTTCATATCCATGCATTAGTGGCTATACACTATCATCGGTAAGTTATAACCTCATCTTGTGACTTGTTGGAAAATGAATGAAAAGAAACTTAGTATTCCCGTAAAAACTAAAGCTCCTGACTACAAAAATACTGTATAAAAACAGAAACAATGATTTTAATATGAAAACATTTAACTAATATTTATCTTCAGCTAAATCTAATAATACTTATGGTTTGATCCTATAAATCAAAGCATAAGTCACTCAGTCGCTGGAATCGTTAGCGGTTACAGATAACTGCGATAGAAAAGTGAAAAAGTGCAGTATAAGTTTGAGTCAACATACCTTTAGCTCTGTCTGTTTGTCCTCACGTATGTTCTCAATAAAGTCTTGTTTTATTTTGCTGCACGAAGATCGGCTGTGGCCTCAAGTTTCGTCTTCTTCGAGTACATCCCAGCCTACAAGTGTTTCCTACAGGGACTGGTACGGGCTTGTTTTGATCTCGGCCGAAAGCTCCGGGAGGAGACAATGACGTATGACAAAGACAACGGAGCGATCGCTACCAACGGCAGACATTACACTACAGGAAAATTATCGCACTAAAGAAATAAAATCCAATTAATCCTAAATAGCTCTCACGGTTTAGGCGTGAAGACTGTTTTAAGTGCTCCAAAACTTCGAAACTTATCCTTCTCAAAAAGTCCTAGTTTCATGAAGTCACGTGGTTGATGACGTCAACTGGTAGGCGGTACTACCCTGAAAAGCGGCTATTACAAACACCTTTCATATAATATAATATAATATAATATAATATAATATAATAATTAGACTTCTTATAACACAAGCAGGTTGAACTTTCCCCCTACTTTAAAAAGACATTTTCAATATTTTTCCCCTTGAATATTGTTAGTTTAAAACTTAGTTGCGTAACTGTAGTTTTTAAAGACGTTCCTGAATCTGTTGGAGCCCAGAAGGACCTCTAAATCACCTGCGTTCCATAAATATTATGGTAAATATATCTTCCTTCCTGTATGGTCTTTGATAAGCAGCCAGTAATCTGTTTAACAACGGGGGAAGGGATACAACATGTTCGGCTCAACCCTTATAAACACACACTCATCTTAAAAGTGGAACTTGAATTTGGTAAGATGAACTTCTGTTGTTTTTTCCTGTTTTACTCTTTCACAATTTAGGTGAAAAGTGTGGCTACACACACACACACACACACACACACACACACACACACATATATACATATGTATATGAAGATATATATATATCTGCAGTATTTATGCTTTCTTCTTCAGTTCCCCCTACAACCCTGTCTCATCTTATATAACTCTATACTGTTTAAGGAAGTGACACAGCATCCTCTTGTGAACTCTATGCTCCCTTGATCAACGAGGGCTTCCTCAGAAAGCTGTCCTCTGAGCTGAGTGGACTAACCAGTATTGCTCTAAGAGCCCCACTCAAAGTGGCCCTGATTATTGCCTGTAGCACGACAGAAAGTGACCACGGGTTGCAGTGACTACAATGCTCTGTTTTAAAGCAAATACACTGAAGCAGTGTTAACAATTAACTTCACAACTGGTGTTTTTATGTTAACCCTAGTTGACTGATTCTTGTTATTAGAGTTACATGAAATTTTGGGGGACATTTTAAATTGAAAGTAGCCATTACAGCTGGTTAGTGATTATCTATTAACTTTTTTTTTGCATAGATTGAAGAAAATGTCACATACAGTAACTACTGATTTCCTTTGAGGTTACGTCACATTATTAAAGAGAAATTCAGGAACACTGAGATAACACCTGTTTTCAGACCACGAAGTCTGTAAAAAATTAACAGCTTTATCTTAGCCTCGCCTGTTCCCTAAAAGGCTCATCTATTCATATGTGAGTGTTTTATGTGCGGAGAGGGAATTTTAAAGATTAAACATTATCACAAAGTTGTGGGAATGTGAACTAGAGCAGCAAATGATGCCTAATGATGAAGATAGCAGAACAGGTGTTATGCATCCCTGTGTCACAAGCAAAATGCCTGCAGTTACAGGCTACTACAAGATTTATATGTAAAGACATAATGAAAATTAATGAATACACTCTCCAGGATGCATTTGATTTATTTTGGAGAACTAGTCCCAGCACTTCCTGAACTTGGAGCTCACTATTATTTCTGTTGTGCTACGTTAGATCTGTACAAATAATGACAACAATAGAATTCAGCAGACTGCCTCCTCTACAATTAGGACACGCGCACACACACAGCAACCATTCAAGAGCTCATTGCAGACATTCAATACAATGGAATAATTCCAGAGAAAGCACATATCTACTGATCCTGGTTACTGGAAAAAATTAACTAAAAGTAAACTTCTGATCATGAACTCTCCTAATTTACATTAACAGCACTGTTGCTCAAACATTAGCGTTTTTGCTCCAATTTTGACAACTTTAACACTATTAGGAGATACAGCAATTCCACCCCACCCTCCAAAACAAAGCATTTTGGGGTTAAAAAAAGTCCTCTTTAAATAGAAACTTAAGCAGGGAGGCTACATTGGCAGTTGGCACACCCTTTTGGGTTTTATTCCATCTCAGGTTTGCAGCAAGCGTGGTAGTTCGGTCCTCTGCTCATCCATGCGTCCCCCCTGGACCCTCAGGAGGAGGGAGAAGAAGTCCTCATCATCCATGGGACCCGGAGCCCTGCTGCGCTGGTCCTCTAGCCTGCCCTGAGCCTGTGGGTCAAAACAAATCGGGAAAATGAAAGCAATGCAATGAAAGTAGGCAAAAGGTTTGCTGCCAACACTCTTTCTCGCATTAGTGAGAAACTAACTTTTCTTCTCAGAAACAAAGCAGAAAACTCCTCAGCTCACGACAAACACATCTAAACAAACAAGCTCATTGCTTACTTGTGTGGTTAGAATCATATTGTACAGATCATCTTTGGGCGCAGGAACTGGTGCAGGCTTTTTCACAGACAGGGACAGTTGTCTTATGCTCCCTCTGACACTTCTGGTCTTTGTTTTTGGCGGCGAAGACCTTCCCAGCTGTGCCCTCTGGTCCTCGAGCCGCCGTCCTTGTGCAGTGGCCACCAGGTCAAAAAACTCCTCTTTCTGCAGTGAAGTCATGGAGGAAAAGACGACTGTGAAGAAATGAGAGAGAAAAGAGCTTAAATGGTCAAAAGGCGGGGGGAAGGCAGTGGTCAGTGGTCAAGGAAAAAAACATGGAAACATGGTAGCTGAAAATTCCTGAGTCAGGGAGAATGGGTGGCTACATTTGATTCTGCTTGTTCAACATGAGTCATAACTCAAAAACAAATGCGAAAGTTGTATCCCTTTCCACACTTTACCATGGCAAAACAGAGCGCTTACCTCTGTTAACTGGTTTGGAGGTGTTGGGCTCAGAGTGGCACCTCCTCCGCCTGACCCCACTCTCCAGCCTGAAGGAGCAGCGCTGGTCATTGAGCCGTCTGCCCTCCTGAAAGGTGCAAAGCAGGTCATACAGCGCCTCGGGGAAGTCAGGGGTTAACCGGTGAGCCTGAGAAAACACAGGTGGGAGGGTGAAAAAGACGGAGGGAGAGAGGAACGGTTTCTGAGCGAGTGGCACAGACTGTTTGTTGGCAAAGCAAAAGAATCCACTCCTACGTACTCCCACATGCTCTGAAATAAAGTGGTACCTGCAGTTCTTCCACCACGAGACTGTTTTTCTCTTGCAGTGGCTGGTGGCAAAGTGTTAAAGTCAACTGATTTACAACACAGGTAATCTCAGGGTAAGAAGAGCAAATACCAACCTTTTTGAGATCCTCTTTGTGGTCCGGTCCCGCCTCGGGTTGTAGCTCAGATGAATTTAGCTTGTTTGTGTCTGCCTCAGGGTCATTCTGTGTGGCCTTTTCATCCTCTGTGCTACAGGGTTTTTCAGTTTTTTCTTTAAGCACTTCATCCGGCTGCCCTTCACTTTTACTGTCATTTCCTTTGAGTCCATCATTTGTGCTTTCTGTTATCTCTGGTTTGTCTTCGTCTCTGTTTATCTGCTGTTTCTCCAGGCTTTGCTCTTCTAAATTTCTTTCACCCGCTATTTCTTGTTGACTGTTTTCCTCTTCTGTGTGCTCCTCTTCCTTTTTGATAGCAAACTCCTCGCTACAGCTTTGTACAGTGACATCTGCACCGCTTGGCGCCCTAATTTCAGTAATACTTTCTACCAAATCTCCATCTTCAATGATGACAAGAGGCTCCAACAGCTCCTCTTCAGCCATTTCAACTTTGATATCTGTGTTGTCCAGTGGTCTCTCTTACAATCCTTATGATTCTTGTGAGAAAACAGAAAGAAGCTGGAGGTGGATAAAAAAAAGGTGATCCAAAATATCAGAATTCAGTTAGCACTTTAAAAATAATACCATAAGGAAAAACACGACATCTATAAACACTGAAACTTAAAAGCATGATGAGTACCGCAGAGCTACTGTGCCTTTCTTTTGAAACAAAACATGTAAGAAACCAGTTTGACAGGTTTCAGCATGTGGGCAACAGATGTTTAGGCAGAAATTTATAAGAAACTTGAAGTCACAAACTCCTCCTAGCTATGAAAAACAAACACGTTTGACTATGTGATCACAAATGTCAGTGTGTTGTTGGTAGGTGATCACCGTTGTGTATTTTCCCAAACAGTTCAGTCGAATAACTCTTGTTGACAGATCACATTGTTATTTGCCCCCTAAAGCTACTGTCTACCACAAAGTGATTTAAATTTCAGTTAATTTTTGCCCTTACCTTTTCGTTTGCCTCGTTTCCTTTTATCGCCTCAAAACATCATCTTTCAAAGTCTTGATCCAGTGAACACAGCATTTTTGGCTTATCACTCGTTCTGTCAACGTCTTTATTAAGAGCAAAGAAGAAAAAAAGAAAATCTGCTAGTTTCAGATGCCGTCCTGATGAGCTCTCGTCTTTTCTATCTGCCCTGCTACCTTCTGTCTTTCTCTCATCTCATCTCTTCCTGTTCCTCTTACCACAGCCCACCCCTATTTACTCGGCCCATATTTGACAAGTCAGGTTAGCATGAAATATTACTGTTAAAAGCAGAATCACTCTCTACATGTGCGATGTGTGTGGTTAATGCAATCATTTTCCAAAGGAAAGGTTTTATAATGCCCATGTACACTTGTTAAAGCAGCTGCTGCTTTAACTGCTGCTCATTTGGTTATGTTAACCCCAAGTGCAGCATGTTGAAACAGGCGCAGTTTTTTTCTTAACTCTCTGTGGTTTTCACATCCTGTTGACTTGCAGCTAAAACGAGAAGTAGACTCAGACAAGTAAGGGAAGCTGTCTAAGCGAGATTATTACTTGAAAAACAAGGCTGAAAAAGCAGTTTATTTTATTTGAATGCTGCTGTTAGTGCTTGTAGCCACGTTTTTCATTCTAAAAAGAAAAAAAAAAAGAAAAGTTAACACGTGAGTATCATAAGAAATATGTGGCTGAATATGAAATGTGCAGCTCTAGTAAAACCCAAACTTGATTAGACAGAAAATCTGCTTAAATAGCCAGAATCAAAATAGAAAAATAGAGGTTCTCCAAGGGCAAAACATTTTAGAGCCTATTTAGAATAGTTACCCTTTACACACACGTCACCTGTATATTCATATGTGTCAGTCTTTTAAGGTAGCTATACAAAAAAAAAGAAAGTCTCTTTCAACATCTCCCACACAAGATGAATCTGTTTGCCCCAGATTCAGTTTGTTGGGATCTGGAGGCCCTATCAAAAAGCCACATAAACTACTTTTGTATAATTAAATGTCATTTCTTTGTTATCCACCCACGCACATGCAACCACCCCCGCGCACTTCTGCTTTGTGAAAATGCAGGGAGTGCAGATGTTTTGCTGTAGTGGTTACCTTTAAACCAATAGTGCTACTCCACTGTATCCACAGCGACGCTCTGTCTGTCACGCGCTGCACTGTGCATGCACATTTTGCACCGTTTCCTGTCAGTCGCTAGGGGACCCAGCTCTGTGCGATGCCTCTGGTCTGTGTTGTGTCTGTGAGCACAGTCGGGCAGCAGTCGTCGCCACTGTGCGTCGCCGAAGATGTTGCAGCAGCAGCAGCCTCTGACGGGCAATGGGCCATCCAACGGCCGGGGACTCGGCGTGAGTGGCCACCCCGGGATGCACGCGCTCAACTCAGTTCACCAACCCTCCCAGCATCGGCCCGACGGAGCGGAGTCGGGCCTCGAGGGTACAGAGAACGGACATGAAACCCGCAGAGATATTGGGGACATACTGCAGCAGATAATGACTATCACCGACCAAAGTTTGGACGAGGCACAAGCAAAGTGAGTCACAGCTATGTTTTCTTTCTTTTTAAATATTGTTATTTAGTGGTATTGACGCTGCAGCGGTATTTTGTTGTGCTGCTTTGTCGACTCCGTCTCGCAGTGACAAAGTTTCCTGAACTTCACTCTATTGTTTAAATTATTCAGCTAGAAGCTAGCTAATTAGCTGGACTAATGACATAAAGTTGCTTTTGGTGTAACCTGTGCAGATTCAAGCTCACACGCCAGTGTTTACTGTTTCTGTGCTGTAAGTTAGGAACACGCATTTCTTTCAGCCGCGGCTGTTTAATATGTAGCTATTGTTAGCATGCTACGCTAACCAAGGCTAACAAGCTAATGCTAAAATAGGTAGCTAAGGACCGCGCCGATATAAATGTTAACACTGCGCTACAACACGGGTTATAATTTAATTACATAGTAAACAACTAAATATACTATCTAACATGTTGGCTGTCATATGCAGACATACTAGCAGTGAAAGGTTACCCCCTTAACTATCAGCTAGCCAGGAGCTAACGTTTGCTAAATTAGCTCGGCTAAATGTAGTCACTTTGTGATTTCTGTTTTTGTTTTGGTCGATTTGCGTACTGTCATTCTATGCCTTTGTTTACAAATAGGCTGGCAGGTCATGTTTGTTCTTTTTTATGTGCAGGAAACATGCGCTCAACTGTCACCGAATGAAACCCGCTTTGTTCAGCGTTTTGTGCGAGATCAAGGAAAAAACTGGTAGGTTTCTGCTCTATTTGCAGGAGTTTTCTTGTGCTCTCTGTCAACAGCCATGGCTTTAATTTTGTTTGGGAGCGTTATTAGACTGTGTTGACATTCTGTCATCAGGAGCCAATAAAGTCATAAACAATCTGAATGGCCAAGTAAACACACAGACATAGTTTTTATACTTTCAGAGTCAAAAGCAAAATAATCTGACAGCCCTCTTAATAAATGCTTATTGGAGTATAAGTGGACTCAAATGACAACAGCTGGACAAACATAAGGTACAATTGCTACAGTGCAATATATTATAGTCATATCAGGTTGCTGTCAGGACTATATTATCTTTAAGCTGCCACAAGGACTGATAAAGTAAATTGTTTCTTTCTCATTCTACATCACCTGTATTGACTTTGTATAGATTTCTTCGTAATAAGCTAATTTTGTATTAAATTTAGTATTCATGATGGAGAAAAAGTAGTTAAAATAGTTCAAAAGCATTAAGAAAAGGAGCAAGATGGTATACAACAAGAAGAAGTGCAATGCAAATAAATAAAAAGTCAGTGTACAGAGGTGGTAAGCTCTTGCACACTAAATACACACATAGATGTGATTTTTATGCATTGGGATATTTTTCTTTATTTTATTTTTAAAAATATTTTCTACTTAGCTGTGCGCCTTTTTGAGTAATGCTTAACTTATTGAGCTATTTTGTCTTGTTTTTATTTTATTTAAGCTGTTGTGTTATATGTTGTGTCTAATGTTTTGGCCATGATAACACAGGAATTTTCCAACTTTTTCTTGGGATAAATAAAGCTGATTTTATCGCATTTTATATGCATTTTAACTTCATATTCTACATCGAAGCATAGGGTCAACTCACTGCATTCATTTATATAACAGAAGGGCGATGAGTAATCTTTCATTTAGATTTCACCTATAGTTGCACTTTAAAACCAGCAAAAAACCAGATTCTTCTAAATTCTTCCTGTAAATTTTTACCTTTCAAACGAACAAATTAGGTTATTTATGACCTCTGGTGATAAACTGGTGATATAGTTTAAAGGCTTTGACTTTATTGTAATTGTCCCCTTCCAGTCATTAAACTATAATCTTTGAACCATGAGTGACAGATCTAGAGTTGCAAAATATTTTACAATATCTGTCATAGGGTAAAGGAACCTGTACAGGTATGATGAACACTTAAAATAACTAGGTTGCACCAAGGTACAGTCTGAAGTGAAAATGTTATGAGAGTGATGCACAAAACAAAACGAGAGCACACAAAAAACTACTTATCTATTTCCAAACATGGTTCCATCATTATTTTATGGTTTTTATGGTTCATTATTTGTAAAGGCTTTGGTTTAAGAGGGTTGCGAGTCTTTTACCTTCAAAGCTAAGATACTTTTGTCTCATTGACAGGCCTTTCAATGAGGAACGCCCAGGAGGAGGAGCCTCAAGATCCTCAGCTGGTGCGACTGGACAACATGCTGCTGGCGGAGGGCGTAGCGGGGCCAGAGAAGGGTGGCGGGGCTGCTGCTGCTGTTTCTGCTGCCACCAGCTCTGGGGGGATGTCACCTGACAGCTCTCTCGAGCACTCCGACTACAAAAGCAAGTTGAGCCAGATTCGCAGTATCTACCACACTGAGCTGGAGAAGTATGAGCAGGTATTGTGTCGCAACAGCAGCTTAGCACTGACATTGCCTGTACGTGCTTGCTTGTACTAGAGGTACCTGGAAGCAATGTTGTACACTGGCATGCTAGATCAAGAGTTCACAGCACATAACTTTGCTTCAGGGCGGATTCATTCCTTTCCATTTGCGTCAGGTATGACTCAGTAAATCTTTATGTTGAGAGGCATTTTAGGCTTATTAGACCAACAAGCTCCACTGAAGCCCTACTTGTGAGCTAGTATCAAAGAGAAAATTAGATCTGCTGTAAAATCCTCTTAAATGCAACATACAATTAAGTTCCCGAAACACAAACCTTTGCCCCATACTTAAGATTAAGGATATGCTGATATCAGTCAGGGGTGTCTATCTGACTGTGGTCATGTAGTCGAAAAACTACTCCAAGGCAACCGATACCACCCTCCAGCAATCAATATTAGTTTATAGTTAAATGAAGATTTTAATGTTTTAGAGTTTTAAGAAGAAAACCAAAAACTATGCAAAGTGTACTCTGTCACATTTTCAAGGGCGGATTTTTTTTACAACATCTAAGAACAAAGAGAGCGGCATATTCAAGGAGACCAAGTATGAGATCCCAGACATCACCTCGTCATAAAAACTGTATTTCCAAACTTGCGCCCATCAGCAGCTAGTTGCAGGACTTTCCACTGACATTTGTAGTAGAACTGCCAGGTAGGGGTGGGCGATA